TGTAAGGAGGCTGTACACTAACCCCCAATGTAAGGGGACTCTATACTGACCACCAATGTAAGGAGGCTGTACACTAACCCCCAATGTAAGGGGACTCTATACTGACCACCAATGTAAGGAGGCTGTACACTAACCCCCAATGTAAGGGGACTCTATACTGACCACCAATGTAAGGAGGCTGTACACTAACCCCCAATGTAAGGGGACTCTATACTGACCACCAATGTAAGGAGGCTGTACACTAACCCCCAATGTAAGGGGACTCTATACTGACCACCAATGTAAGGAGGCTGTACACTAACCCCCAATGTAAGGGGACTCTATACTGACCACCAATGTAAGGAGGCTGTACACTAACCCCCAATGTAAGGGGACTCTATACTGACCACCAATGTAAGGAGGCTGTACACTAACCCCCAATGTAAGGGGACTCTATACTGACCACCAATGTAAGGAGGCTGTACACTAACCCCCAATGTAAGGGGACTCTATACTGACCACCAATGTAAGGAGGCTGTACACTAACCCCCAATGTAAGGGGACTCTATACTGACCACCAATGTAAGGAGGCTGTACACTAACCCCCAATGTAAGGGGACTCTATACTGACCACCAATGTAAGGAGGCTGTACACTAACCCCCAATGTAAGGGGACTCTATACTGACCACCAATGTAAGGAGGCTGTACACTAACCCCCAATGTAAGGGGACTCTATACTGACCACCAATGTAAGGAGGCTGTACACTAACCCCCAATGTAAGGGGACTCTATACTGACCACCAATGTAAGGAGGCTGTACACTAACCCCCAATGTAAGGGGACTCTATACTGACCACCAATGTAAGGAGGCTGTACACTAACCCCCAATGTAAGGGGACTCTATACTGACCACCAATGTAAGGAGGCTGTACACTAACCCCCAATGTAAGGGGACTCTATACTGACCACCAATGTAAGGAGGCTGTACACTAACCCCCAATGTAAGGGGACTCTATACTGACCACCAATGTAAGGAGGCTGTACACTAACCCCCAATGTAAGGGGACTCTATACTGACCACCAATGTAAGGAGGCTGTACACTAACCCCCAATGTAAGGGGACTCTATACTGACCACCAATGTAAGGAGGCTGTACACTAACCCCCAATGTAAGGGGACTCTATACTGACCACCAATGTAAGGAGGCTGTACACTAACCCCCAATGTAAGGGGACTCTATACTGACCACCAATGTAAGGAGGCTGTACACTAACCCCCAATGTAAGGGGACTCTATACTGACCACCAATGTAAGGAGGCTGTACACTAACCCCCAATGTAAGGGGACTCTATACTGACCACCAATGTAAGGAGGCTGTACACTAACCCCCAATGTAAGGGGACTCTATACTGACCACCAATGTAAGGAGGCTGTACACTAACCCCCAATGTAAGGGGACTCTATACTGACCACCAATGTAAGGAGGCTGTACACTAACCCCCAATGTAAGGGGACTCTATACTGACCACCAATGTAAGGAGGCTGTACACTAACCCCCAATGTAAGGGGACTCTATACTGACCACCAATGTAAGGAGGCTGTACACTAACCCCCAATGTAAGGGGACTCTATACTGACCACCAATGTAAGGAGGCTGTACACTAACCCCCAATGTAAGGGGACTCTATACTGACCACCAATGTAAGGAGGCTGTACACTAACCCCCAATGTAAGGGGACTCTATACTGACCACCAATGTAAGGAGGCTGTACACTAACCCCCAATGTAAGGGGACTCTATACTGACCACCAATGTAAGGAGGCTGTACACTAACCCCCAATGTAAGGGGACTCTATACTGACCACCAATGTAAGGAGGCTGTACACTAACCCCCAATGTAAGGGGACTCTATACTGACCACCAATGTAAGGAGGCTGTACACTAACCCCCAATGTAAGGGGACTCTATACTGACCACCAATGTAAGGAGGCTGTACACTAACCCCCAATGTAAGGGGACTCTATACTGACCACCAATGTAAGGAGGCTGTACACTAACCCCCAATGTAAGGGGACTCTATACTGACCACCAATGTAAGGAGGCTGTACACTAACCCCCAATGTAAGGGGACTCTATACTGACCACCAATGTAAGGAGGCTGTACACTAACCCCCAATGTAAGGGGACTCTATACTGACCACCAATGTAAGGAGGCTGTACACTAACCCCCAATGTAAGGGGACTCTATACTGACCACCAATGTAAGGAGGCTGTACACTAACCCCCAATGTAAGGGGACTCTATACTGACCACCAATGTAAGGAGGCTGTACACTAACCCCCAATGTAAGGGGACTCTATACTGACCACCAATGTAAGGAGGCTGTACACTAACCCCCAATGTAAGGGGACTCTATACTGACCACCAATGTAAGGAGGCTGTACACTAACCCCCAATGTAAGGGGACTCTATACTGACCACCAATGTAAGGAGGCTGTACACTAACCACCAATGTAAGGGGACTCTATACTGACCACCAATGTAAGGAGGCTGTACACTAACCACCAATGTAAGGGGACTGTACACTAACCACCAATGTAAGGGGGCTGTACACTAACCACCAATGTAAGGAGGCTGTACACTAACCACCAATGTATGGAGGCTGTACACTAACCACCAATGTAAGGGGGCTGTACACTAACCACCAATGTAAGGGGGCTGTACACTAACCACCAATGTAAGGGGGCTGTACACTAACCACCAATGTAAGGGGGCTGTACACTAACCACCAATGTATGGAGGCTGTACACTAACCACCAATGTAAGGGGGCTGTACACTAACCACCAATGTAAAGGGACTCTATACTGACCTCCAGTGTAAGGGGGCACTGTACTGGGGGACCTGCACTAAAATGTAATCAAGGGGGGCACTACACCAATGTAAGGGGGCACTACACCTAACACCTATGTGAGGCTGGCACTGCACTAAGCACTGATGTAAGTGGGTGTTCCATTGACCACCAATGTAAGGGAACTTTTCACCAATGACCACCAACAATTAGGGGACATTATAACTTTCACTGTTGTAATGTTTCCCTCCCCCCCATGTTAATGTCAGCACTTACCTTAAATGATGTCTCTTAATCCGATCTTCTTCTTTCCTGTCCTTTTCATCTGTCCATCCATCGGTGCGGCGGCTCTCCGATCCAGCGCTGACTCCTCTGTCCTTGCTGGCACTTCCGATCCAGCGGTGTCTGCATGCGGGTGCACGCGTCCATAGACTTACCTTGCGTCTCTGCTCGTCTCCCTGTCGAGAATCCGAACTGCGCATGCGCCCGCCCCAAGATGCTTTGCGGCCGCCCGAGCAGTTGCGTTTTCTCGGGCGGGAGCGCGCAGCGATAACGAGGTAAGTTACGCCGATCCAGCGCTGACTGCTCTGTCTCTCCGATCCAGCGGTGTCTGCAGGCGGGTGCACACGTCCATAGCCGTGCCTTGTGTCTCTGCTCGTCTCCCTGTCGAGAATCCGAACTGCGCATGCGCCCGCCCCAAGATGCTTTGCGGCCGCCCGAGCAGTTGCGTTTTCTCGGGCGGGAGCGCGCAGCGATAACGAGGTAAGTTTAAACCGCTGTTAAAGCGTTTTTTTAAATTCATTAAATGTTTGCCTATATCTACTGCTTGATAGCCCTAGATATAGGCAAAAAAACGGGAGGGTTTAGAACCCCTTTTATAATATTTTCTATAAAAAAATAAGACGCAAAGATCGTCTCTACTGTACTGAGAGCTTTTCTTCCAAAATTACCAATGCAATAATTCATAGGCAGCATCGCCGCCCTCAGCGAATCTGCCGCTCCAGGCAAACGCCTTGTTTGCCTCGCGGCAGATACGCCCCTGGGTCTAGTCTCGGAGAGGGGCATTTGGGTCCCCTGGTATCACTGTGCATGCAGCGTGAGTTGATATTTCGTATAGCTGACAACAGGGGGCGGTAGTGGACACACAATACTCCAAGGGATCTTTCCAAACTGAAGAGTGCAGAAACCGGTTTTATTCCATTGAGCATTGTGTACACACAAATGACTTGCAGGTTAGGATTCGGCGTCTCTAATGGGTTCTACGTACACATGGTGAAGGGTCAGGTTCATGAACATGAAATGATCAATAAAGTGTAATTACGATAGAAATCTTTCTTCTATGTATAGCGCGTGATTATAGATTATAGGAACACGGGGACGGGGTCATGTCAGTCCTGCTTTCTGCTGTGGCCATGCTGATCCTTTTACCTCACTACAAGGTCTACCAGACAGGGGCTGTCTGCCTGGAAATGATGGACCCTCCGTAGTCTATGGTGATGGCGGACATGGAGGAGTGCAACTACAGGGGAGCCATTCACAAAGGTGTAGATGTGGAGGGGCCCCTTAGGGTGTGAGTGTGGATTGCTCACTGCGGTATATGTCAGAGCTACATAAATAATAGTGTGTGA